ATAACTTGATATGTAATCTTTTATGATAATCGTATTTTCCTAGCACCAACTAGAAGAACTATTATTAAATTTGGGCAGATAAGTGGGAAGAATTAAATGTTTAAGTCCTAATTTCTAATTCAGTATGAAAAATTCCTTAAACACGGATTTAAATAATTACTACGAAAATTAACACAATTGACGAAAAGGAATTGAAGAACATGACTTACTAGAATGGCCATTTTCGTAATACCGACCCTGCCCTCGAGTTAAATCAGAAAACTTGCTGTAATCGGCCAACAAAAAAATTAGCCATAAAGTAACTCTATTGTAACGTAGAGATTGAATTAGAAATAAAGGAGTTAGGAAATTAATATTTAATGTATTAAATATATTAAATATTAAAATAATCCATGTACATTATTTATTATATATTTAAAATTTAAATGAGATTCACGTATATATTAAAATATTATATTTTAATATATTAAATATTTAAATATTTGTGGTAGAAATATCTTGGGGAGGAAGCTTTTTATATTTTAATATATTAAATATATTAAATATTAAAGTAATAAGAAGTTCATATCTAGAAAAATATTCTAAGAGACTTATCGAACACGTTTCTAAAAAGGTATGGTCTGTAATGCTTTATTTTTAATTCGTAATAAAATCAAACAAAAATATAACATTTTTGGGAATAAATAATTCATTCTCTTCTTAAAATTTTTATTATACCTATATCATATTCGAAAATTTTATATAGATAACAATATTATAACTTTACAATAAGTCTCGAATACGTTCCGAAATTTAAATTTTATTTTATTTTATTCTTTCAGTTGAAATTTAAAATTAAAATGTGTTCTCTTAACAATAAAATAATAAAATATTAGGTTGAATTATTCCAAGATTGCCTATATATACTTATTTCGTTAAGTTAAACAACTAGGCTCTGCAAACTCGCAACAACAAAAACAATGTCAGGTAGTAATTTTTAATGCAATGATGTATTGATATTAGTTCAATATGTATTGATATCATTTTATGTATCTAATAAGTATAGTTTACATGGTGAAGTTATGTTGAATGAAGAAAAGTGGCGTTGGCCAGAGTTGGTGGGGATGGATGGGGAGAAAGCAGTGAAGATAATTCAACAAGACAACCCTTCTCTGTATGTAATTCTAATGCCACGAGGTGAAGAGGCCGCATCGGCCAATTTTATGTTCAAACGAGTCCGAGTCTTTGTTGACTATTGTGGAAGGGTGAATTCGATCCCTCGAATTGGCTAAGCACTTTTTGACTATATGTAACACCACATTTGTAATAAAATAAATTAAGATGGGTTTCTCTAACTTAATCTCAACTATATGAGTATTTAATAGATTATCATCTCAAAATTAATTGAGAACGAGAAAAACACATTCAAAATGGTTTAAAAAGCTTAGAAAAATTTGTACGTCCGGAATAGTATCCATTTAATGTTTGAATATCATCGTTCAATGTAAACAACACCAAAATATCATGCAACAACACTAACACCCTATATCGATGTCAAATCAGGATAACCTTTTTTCGATAACAAATATTATTATTTTTTAGTTTTGTTCTTTTTGTAAGAAGTTAGAAGCTCACGACCTTGGGGAGACCTGTATTTTTGGTAAACAGCCGTTTGGGTCTGGTTATTACAACCTCTTTTGTGAGAAGGCACCCCTTCTCCCCAAGTTACGAGGCTATTTAGTGGGTTCTCTAAAACTAGACCTTATACACTATCCTTATTAGAGGTATAAAATAATATCAATTATATCAATACACATTAAACTAATATCAATAAATCATTGCATTTAAAATTAGAGTTTGCCCATATATGTTTGTATGCTTAGTTGTTTAACGGTTTTGGACAAGTTTTACAATATCGAGGGACTTCGGCCAAGGCCAAATAACTAAATGGCTCTATTATTAGTTGGTTTAAGAATTATATGATGTATGATGACGCATAGGCCGTGACTGCTACATGCATCATGGTTAGGAATGTTATGCTCACTTACTAAGTGAGGACAACAGTTTGCATTGTTTTCCTCGATTGGTTTCATTTTCACGCTGAAGTTTATGTTAAATGTCTTTGTTTTGCATGGATATTATTTTTATTTCTTATTTTTAAGTTGAACATCTAAATCTATGACTTAATTCGAAAGGTTTTATTAATTATTTAATAATATTAATACAGACATGCATGTAATGACGTCTCTGATCTAGATAAGAAAGTTAGAAGCGTTACGGTTACCTATATTACAATTTCATATATGAAGAAAATTTCACACAAAATTTAAAATAGGTCGAATAAAAAAACTTTAAATCTATACACATAAAAAAAATTTGTTTTACTAAAAATATCCATATTCTTGGATGTGAATATTGGATTGAAATATTTCTATATAATTTGTTAAAAGAAAAAAAAAATCTTATATAGAAATATTTCCATAGCCATGACTCGAAAAGATATGGTCAAGGCCATGATTTTAAGTAAGGGGAACTTCATGTATTTCATGTGTCATATGCATCGTAATACTTCTTCGTTATGATCAGTACAGACGTGTATATTACGAAGTTTATGTTCACCATGATGTTATGTGGGCCCTTTCTCTCCATGATGTCTAGCAGCCCTTTAGTGAGTGTTAGCTCGAGCCAGGCCAAGGGGGTATGCGAGCTTGATTGGTGAGTCCATGTACGCATTTGTGGGTGTGTAGGGAAGTACTACAAATCCAACCTACCAAAATTGGAAACTTGCCTAAGGCTATGTCGTGTTGTTTTTAAAAGGATAGGTCCATCATATCACATGTGTTTACATTTTTTAAAATACTCAAGCCACGTGCTACTCTTATTTTTCAAGCAAAAGTAAGAGATCCATGTAAGGATGACAACTTCGCGATAAAGGCTATGGAACATGTGACACCCGAGTAAAGGGAGGGTAAATGAATGAACATAGACTACATCTGAATGAGAGTGATCTTGAGGATAAAATGACTAAGAAAGATTAAAAAAGAAATGAAAGTTACCAACTATACCAAGGATGTGCACCTTCCTTTTTCATGACCTAATTATAGGAACTCCATAGTCAACCCGTCTTGCTGGTAGAAATTCTCTGTTAAGTAACCTCTAGAAAATTTTCCTAGGATGCATATGAGTAACCACAAAACATTCTAAAAGAACTTGAGTTGGTTCATGAGGATAGAATTCACTCATAGAAGCGAAAAGTAGGTAACATGACCAAATTCGAATTCCAAATCCAGGGTATGAACCATTACAAATGTTTAGCATGCATAAACATTCTTTTCTTATTAATTAAGTTTCATTTTAACTTTTTGTGGGTCATTATTCAATGCTATAGAACTATCAAATAGATTGGATCGAAGACTTAACAACCTCATTTTCTAAGTGCATTAAAATTTCTTCAACGTGTTCAAAGTTCATAAATATATTTAAAAGCTTATTATACGGTCCAACATAAGATTATTCCCTATAAATATTCATACATATCTAACTTTTCCCATCAACTTATTTCCTATAAATGGACATACCAACTCCTTTGCTATTTGCATTATCCAAACACTACCCTTCAACAAATACATACCCATCCATCAACTTCATCCAAAAATGGGTGATTTTTGTCCGGGTGGGTTTCTCACCATTTCTCGTTTTAGTACTTCTATCCTCGAGATTTGTTTTGTGATGAAACTATACGATTTTTAGAATAGTTTCAATTAAGTTTTGAAAATCAAGTTGATTTTACGATCATTGATTTGTTTAGTTGATTTGGTTTTTCAGGAAAGAATAGGTGGCCCGAACTTGTTGGAATAGAAGCAAGGATTGCAGAGAAAATCATCCAAAAAGAAAATCCCAACGTAGATATTGTTCAGATTTTCTTATTTGGAAGTAAAAGTGGTATAACGATGGAATTTTGTTGCAGTCGAGTTCGATTGCTTGTTAATATAAATGGTGTAATTGTTGGTATACCATCGATTGGGTAGAAAAAACTATCAAAAAAATGGTGATGGATGCACATGTATTGTAACAACCCTTTTCTTACTTCAATAAAGTTTTTCTTACTTCAATAAAGTTGTTACCGTATTCATGACTTAATCATGAAAAGCAGACAAATCTTTTAAAAAATTTCAAGACGACCGTTGCTGATCATTTCCCTCGTTTTCAACCGACTTACGAGACATTGACACGTGACATGAAGAATAATTTATTTGGTTTTAGAAAGGGCAATGGATGTGTGTGTGTATATATATATAGAGGTACAAGAATCATGAGCTCCTTGTCATGTAAAACTCTCACTGACCTTCACAAAAATGAAAAGCTAAAAAGGTGGAAGACTCAGCTTCCATGGTTGATTTGATGATTTTTCCTCTAATCTGAACCTTCTCTGCTATGGCCATGCTCAAGCTTATTCCTTGCAGCCCAACAAAAAGGAATGAACCATGGTTCAAACTGACGGCTGATTCCCATTTTAAGATACCTTCTTCCACTTAAAGTTGTGCATATCTGCATAAGCAAGACCAAGAAATGGTTAAGGAACAACAGCACACGATCATGCTCTCGGCCTCATGGTTTTAAAATGTGTCTGCTAAGGAGAAGTTTCTACACTCTTATAAGAAATGTTTCGTTCTTCTCTCCAACTGATGTGAGATCTCACAATCCACCCCTTTTGGAGGACCAACATCCTCGCATGCACACTACTGGGTGACTGACTCTGATACCATTTGTAAGATATCGTCCACTTTGGCCTATTACGCGTCGTCGTCAGCCTCACGATTTTAAAATGTGTCTTTTAGGGAGAGGTTTCCATACTGTTATAAGGAATGCTCCGTTCTCCTCTCCAACCGATGTGGGATCTCGCAATTCACCCCCTTTGGTGGTCTAGCGTCCCTCGCTGGCACACCACCCAGTGTCTAGCTTTGATATAATTTCTAACAGCTCAAGCCCACCGCTAGCAGTTATTGTCCGTTTTAGCCCGAACATCTGCTAGGGAGAGGTTTCCACACCCTTATAAGGAATGTTTCATTCTCCTCTCCAACTGATGCGGATCTCACCATCCACCCCTCCCTGGGGGACTAACGTCCTCGCTGGCACACCACCCGATGTCTGTCTCTGATACCATTTGTAACAGCCCAAGCCCACAAGTAGCAAATACTATCCATTACGTATCGCCATCAGGCTAACGGTTTTAAAACGCGTTTACTAGGGAGAGGTTTCCACACCCTTATAAGGAATGTTTCGTTCTCCTCTCTCACCCGATGCGGGATCTCACAATCCACCCCCTTTTGGGGACCAACGTCCTCGTTGGCACACCACCCAGTATCTGTCTATGATATCATTCGTAACATCCCAAGCCCACAGCTAACAAATATTATCCATTTTGGCCCATTATATATCGCCGTCAGCCACACGGTTTTCAAACACGTCTGCTAGGGAGAGGTTTCCATACCTTTATAAGGAATCCTTCGTTCTCCTCTCCAATAGATATGGGATCTCACACCTTGAAATCAACAAGTTATATCCGTTACTTGATTTCTCCAATTCTGCTAGGCAACGTCTAGTGGCTATAGATTCAAATTCTAGATTGAGCACGAGAATCACTGATTATATCTACCGACATTCATGTTCATATGAGAAATTTAGAGCTCATACCATGCTTTGTTAGTAACGCTTACCATATCATGCTGCATGAACTTTGGAGCGAGGCCGACGATCGAGCCGAATGCCGATTTTACACAATTCTTGTAGCTGATTAACGATATTCCGAGCAAATTGCAGCCCCTCCTCGCCGTATCGAAGAGAATTAAGAGAGTGTTCAAGAAAATCATGATCAGCTTGTAGTGCTTCCAACCTGCCAGTAAGCTCTGAAATCTTATGTTCAAGAGCAAGGAAGTCAACCTCCTCTAGTTTATTTGCACAACTTATCGGATCTTTCACCTCATAAAAGCTTTCTTCACAGCCAAAATGACCATTTTTCTCAACATCAACCACCTCTCCTTCTGGTGTAGCTGTTCCATTACAGTTGCTTTGTTCTATGTGCATGGATGAGCCATTCTCTTCAATGCTCTCTTCCCCTTCTTGTTGTCCATTAGTGAATATTCTGCTGATCTTATCCTCTAAGCTCTTCAAACATAGCTGAATGTAGTGTTTTTCATCTTCAAATTCTAAACATAAATTTGAATTATTCAAAGATCTGTAGCTTTCTTTTGATGCCTTTAAAATTCTTGATTTAAAGGAATGATTCCCATCATATTCATGGTGTTCTTCATTTGAATCGTCGCTATTTTCATGTTCATCCTCGACTATTGTGTCGACCGTGTAAATCGACCTATAGTATTCGAGCTCGGCTTCTAACTCTTGGATGTCTCGATCCTTTTCGTTCAAGAGTTCGTTTGCTTTCTCTATAGCTTCTACATCATATTCTGCTTGTTCTTCCATCATTCTCAAGTAATGAAAAGCATCCATGTTCATTGTTGCCTTCTCCGCTTGCAACCTTGTAATCATAGCCATGGCTTGACTTACCGCAATCTCGGAAGCGCTTCGTTCTTCTTCCAACTCGTTATACAATGCATTAATGCATTTCTTATCGTATTCGACTTGTCGTTTTAATCTATCCACAATACTTTCGCCTTCGATCTCGCTTACATTGCTTCCATCAACTGATTCAACTGATTCCATTGAGACTGATCGATGAAACTCCGGTATTACGTCGAATCCCGACGCAAACTCTTCTTGTAAATCGTCATATGAAATGCTATAATTGTGGCCTTCACCGTTCGAGGATGATTGATTAACAAGTTCAATATCAGGTTCAGCAAAGTTGAAGATGTGTTCCTTATCGCTCACAGGAGACCTGCTAATGCTTCTATGATCCATATCGTTATTAGTGTTCATAACAGCATATTCATAGACAACCTCATCTATGGGACACTTCTCAATTGTTGTGCTAATCAATAGAGATTGCTTCAGATCATTGGTAACTAGATCACTCTCGGTCGACTCGCTAACAACGTCGATATCATCATTAATGTTCTTAATATCAGATTCATAGGGATCCACTATGGTGCTAATCAATGGAGACAAATCATTTTCAACTAGATCTGTTTCCTTCTTCAAAGATTGCCCAATAGCGATGTCATGTTCCTTATTACTCTCGGAGGACTCGTTAACATTGTCGATATCATCGTTAATGTTCTCAATAGCAGATTCATAGGCAGTGATATCAGTTTTGGAACACTCTTCAACTACTGTGTTCATCAATGGAGACTGCTTCAAATCATCATTAACTATATCAACTTCCTTCTCCAAAAACTTTCCTATAGCAAAATCGGAGTCTCGTTCCTTATCGCTCTCGAAGGAGGACTCACTTACACTATCGATAACCGTGTTCCTATTACCAGATACATAAACCACCTCATCTATTTTAGGACACTCTTCAATTTTTGTGTTGATCTTGATGACTTCTTGTTCCTTATCACTCTCGAACGACTTGCTAACACCATTATGATCTATACCGCCATTCGTGTTCTTCATAGCAGATTCATAGACCACCTCCTTAGTACTAATCAATGGAGATTGCTTCAAATCATTAGAAACTATATCAGCTTCCTTCTCCGCAGGGTGTCTTGAGGCAAAATCAATATCATGTTCCTTATCACTCTCAGAAGAATCACTGTCACTATTACGATCTGAATTATCATTCTTGTTCCCAGAAGTAACTTTGTTTTCTTCATCACTTTCGGAAGACTCACTATCACTGCTATGATTTGTATCATTGTTAGTGTTTCTCAATGTTGAATGATCCTCGAGCTCATTGGAAGATGGAATTTCCATGTCGTTTGTTTCGGTCGTCTCAGCTGCCATATATAAACAGGGTTATAGCAAGCAATCAGGCAAGAATGGGAAGAATTACCACATGGGGAGAGACAAGAATAGAGATAGATACTTACATGTCGTTAACTTTCCTGCACTTTTCGGGTCGTGTTGTGATGTGATGAACCGAGGAGAGCGGGAAAGAATGGAGTCCTGGTTGAGAGAATCTGTAAGCTCGCTTTTCTCCATTGAATCCGCACGAGAAAGTTCCAAGGCGATGCAGGGGATGATGCATCATTCAGCTAAATAAGTTCAGCCCATGTAGAAGGGTTGGCAGTCGGATTGGCTGGCCAAGGCAGCCAATTCAACTTGTTCAGTCCATGAAAAGTAGCAGCATCACGAGCAAGAGATATCACGTCATGGGGCTTTTGCACATCAACCTGCACAGCATATGGTTCTAAAGGTGAAGACCTTGAATCAACAAAAGTAATGGATGGCTCAGCCTAATCACTATTATTGCAATGAAGTGGACAATGTAACAGTTCAAGTCCACCGCTAGCAAATATTGTCCTGTTTAGATTTTTCCTTCCAGACTTCCCCTCAAAGTTTTAAGTGTGTCCACTAGGGGGAGGTTTCTATACCCTTATAACGAATGTTTTGTTCATCTCTCCAACCGATGTGGGATCTCACAATCTTGTTGAGGATTGTTAGGAGGTAGTCCCACGTCGACTAATTTAGGGAATGATCATGGGTTTATAAGTAAGGAATACATCTCCATTGGTATGAGGCCTTTTGGAGAAGCCCAAAGCAAAGCCACGAGAGCTTATGCTCAAAGTGGACAATATCATACCATTGTAGAGGTTCGTGATTCCTAACAAATCTACCCCTTCAAGACTCAACGTCCTCACTGGCACAAATGGTATCAGAACCAGTCACCGAACAATGCAATACATTGGTCGGAGTAGGGCTAGACCCTCTCCATAGTAGAGGCATTTTAAAACCTTGAGGCTAGTAACGATACGTAACGAACCAAAGTGAACAGTATCTGCTAGCGGTGAGTTTGGGCAGTTACAAATGATATCAGGGCCAGACATCAGGCGATGTGCCAGTGAGGATGCAAGGCCACCAAGGGGGGCGGTTGTGAGATCCCACGTCGTTGGGGAGGGGAACGAAACTTCCTTATAAGAGTGTAGAAATCTCTCCCTATAGACGCGTTTTAAAACATTGAGAGAAATGGAAAAGCCCAAAATGGGCTTAAATTAAGATGAATGCAAGGAAAACTAATAAGAAAACAGAGATTTTCAAGAACACAAGCTAAACCGACTCCTCATTCATGTGGGTATTGGAGAAAAACTACAATATATTCATTACACCTAAAACAGAAGAATGAATGCTCATAGAGGATTTTCTTTTCTTCGTTGGAGAGAGAGGAAATTGACTTAAAGTTGTTCTAGATGTAACACTCTAAAAGTGGAATGAAGAACAATGTGCCAAATCATGCCACAATGCAGATGATCTGAAAGCAAAATGAGAAGAAAAAAGGGCAACCCCAATCTCAAAACGTTCGATATTAGGCCATGAATCAACCAACGATTATATGAACAAGAAAGAACAAAAAATGGCCAGAAAAAACCAGATTGAATACGACAACGCATAAGATTTCCTGATCCAACAAAAACCCAAATACCAATTTGTATGAACATTGAAGAAAATCAATGAAACTGGGGAGATTAATCAGAAGAATCGCAACCCACCAAACAAAAAACAGAAGCAATAGAACCCAGAAGAAAGCTCAAATGCTATATGAATCAATACAAATTTTGATGATGAAATGGTATGTAATGGAAATATGGTTACCTTGTTTGAAGGTGGAGGACGATCGGGAAGAAACAGGGAGAGGAGAAGCAACGAAAAGGAGAGAAAAAATTGATTTGGGACGACAGATTCCAAAGGAATTGGAATTGGAATTGGAATTAGAAAAAAGGCGTTCGGCTAAAACCGTTGGTGGAAAAAACTGTATTTCCTTCGTATGGAGGGGCCAAATTAGTCGTATTAATAATTTGTTTAAAAAATAATTTTAAACTTTTTCTAAAAAAAATTATTAAAAAACAATAATAATCTGTGCTAAGTGTGTTAATACTACGTCCAAGATTTAATGGATATTTTTTAAAAAATATCATTAATTGTAAGAGTATTTTTAAATTTTTTTGAAAAATTGAGGGGTGGAAGGGAGAGTTTTTAAAGCTAAAGGATATTTTTGGAATAAAATATTAACGATTTTCAAATGAATTAATGGTATTTTTAATAAGTCTTTTTAACTTATTTAATAAATTTTAAAGTTTATGGAAATACTAAATATAAAATTTGAAATTTAGAATTTTATGTAAATATATCTATGATCATCCGAGTATAAAATTTAATAACGTATCATATAATTTTTAAAATTTAAAAATAAAATAAACACAAATATAAAGAATAAGGGATTAAATGGGTTAAATTGTTATCTTAGGTTGTACCACATCGGAAAGGTTAGCGAATGTGCACTACTATATAATCGCAGTTCCCAAAGTGATGTACAACCAACCGCGGAACGAAGTGATTGGGCCAGTTGTTCCTTAAAGGTTCAACGGGCTCAGGAAAGTCCCCGGGCCACTCACTGCAGAGATGCAGACCCGGTAACGGGCAAACTACGATTCCATTGGGGCCGTCGCATTGCACGGTGCGGGGGGCTGAGACACGTGTGGAGCCTTAGAGCCCCGTTGGATCGAAGATATAACTGGCCGAGTTCACAGATATTCACTTAAATGGTTGTTAACAGAACGGGGCTTATGATTCCGCGGATATGTTTTCTATTTATTAATTATCTTTTAATTTTTCTTTATTAATTATCTTCTTTTATAATATATTATAATGTTTTGTGAGATCTCACATCGATTAGAGAGGGGAACAAAGCATTCCTTAGAAGAGTGTGGAAACCTCTTCCTAGTAGACGCGTTTTAAAACCGTGAGACTGACGACGATACGTAATAGGTCAAAGCAGACAATATCTTCTTACATGAGTTTATGCTCTCATAGATGATAAGTCAATAATGATTGAAGTTTTTCATTTAGCTGATCTCGTAAAATGGTGTAGCTGATAGGATAACAAAATGAGTACGAATCACAAACTTGAGAATCAAATTTCTCGAATTGGCTACTCGTGCTCGTTGGTGGCCTAATATTTTAATGGGAATAATGGAAGGTCCTTATCAAATTGTATAAATAATGCACTCAACTTATGGCAAATAGCCTAACTTACAGAAATTCTTCTCAAATTTTCCTCTAAAAACAAAAATTAGAACAAGTTAGGAAAAGATGCCTATAGATTTAGGCAGGAGAACGAACCTAAGGAAATATTGCATCTCGATGAACAAAATGGAATAAAATTCAACCCAATGACCTAATAATTCGTCATTCAAATGTTTTAGGTCGAATTATAAATTTATTTGAATTGATTCTGAGTTAGATCGATATAGTTTGTTTAAGTTTGTTTAAAAAATTAACACGATTAATTCAAATTATTTTTCTTAATAAAATATTGTAAGATCGAATTGGGTTCAATCTATCAATTGGGTTTCAACATTTTTTTCCATGATAAATCATCGTTTTAGTTTCATTCCTCTTGCGAATGATGCAGGTCGACGACGTGGGTCTTGTTCTAACGGCCTAGGTTTATTTCATCCCGCTAACATAAATCGTGCTTAGATGAATGAGATCATTGCCTACATAAAACTTGGTTCCACTGATTAGTACATTTTTTTTTCGACTAAGCTCGATTCACGTAAGGTTCAAGGTTTTTGGTTTTTTTCTTCCGTTCATTGCATTTTAAATTGATTTTCCTTTTGTCTTAGTTGGTTCAGTTTCTCTTAGATTCAAAGATTATTTAAGCTTTTCTAGCATAATATATGAGATTAGAGATTGAACCTACGCTACCGTTAGCTCAAAGGAGCATAAAAGGGTTGAATTTGGCTCATTAAAGTAAGTGAACTTATTACTGAAACGTCTCGAATATTAATTGGATATGTTCAGTATGTGTCGTTACCATATTGGTCATGAGTTATTGAGGCTAACAGTTGTATGATATGTGAACACATTTTATTCTATTACGATGATTTGTTATGAGTTTCGAAAAATGAGATCCACGAGTGAATAAATTAAAGATTATGAATTACAGTTACTGAATTATAATTTTCTCTTACCTTGTGGAACCTTAGGCATCTCATTCTTTTCGATGGGTACACCCATAGTTAGGTATGGATAGGACTCATACTCGCCTAGTGACTTTGTGTGCATATACATGGGCCGTGTAGGGCCCAAGTGTACGCGATTGTCCTTTTCGATCCCTATAGTAGAGTCACTTGTACTTTTAAATACTCAACCTTTCCATATCGAGGATTATTGGGAGGGAATCCCACGTTAACTAATTTAGAAAATGATAATGTGTTCATAAATAAGGAATAAATTTCTATTGGTATAAGTCCTTCTCGAGAATCCCAAAGCAAAGTCATGAGAGTTTATGCTAAAAGTAGATAATATCATGTCATTATAAAGCGTCGATTCCTAAACTTTTAAACTATGTTTTTTTTAGGTAATGAGAACGAGATCCTAGACAATTGATAGTATCTGTTGAGAAGGTCATGGAGCCGTTTGTAGCTAAGTTTAATGAGAAGGTCATGGAGCCGTTTGTAGCTAAGTTTAATCATTTTATGAAGACTTGTGAGATAGGAATAGGAATAAAATAATTATATTTTCTTTTACGTTTTATTTTATATTTGTTTTAAACATTTTATTCTTAAAAAAAACCAATTTTTAAAACAAAAATGTTACATTAAAAAAACCGAACATAAATGAAATCAATGTACTGTTTCTTTCTTCACAAAATGAGAACGAAAAGTTTGCACAAAGAGATAATTCGATGAGTATAAAAAGACCCCAAGAAAGTTTACAATTTATTGTTTTTCTCTCTATTTTTGTGTTTCTCTCTCCTCATGAACAGTTGTGGGAAATGTTGTCTGGTGCGAGATCGTTCATCTCTTTGAATTTCAACCTCTCGGGAATCAAACTCGTCAACTTTGGAATGATTTCGGACCAGGCTTCATTCCCCTCAACACCCATCATGTTAAATCTTTCGTCTCGATGTCGAAACTTGGCTTTCTTTCTCAATCTAAAGCTTGGGTTCGCTGTTCCGTTGGCCCGTCTCGACAAGTCCTCGGCGTCGATTACTGACACATACATATATGCAGGTCTGTGAAAGGTTGTTCTAATTCACCAACTTTTACTATTTTGTGAGGTATTTCTGTTGTGTTGGGGAAGTTCGAAAGAAATAAGGTAAAATCTTGCTTTGTTTTTCTCAAGTTTTCTTCTTGTTGAGAAACTCAACTTTTCCCCCCTTGACGATTAATGGTAGATTTTGGTTATTTTGGTTCGTTTATCTCATGAACGATACCCGTTGAATTACTATCACTAATAGAAGCTTAAGCAAATAGATTGACGTAAATTCGATTTTTTTCTTCTTATGAACGAATTTGAATGTAAATTTTTTGCATGTCAGTTTATATTTGATACACAAACTTCATCTGAAATGAGAAAGAAATACATGAATATAAACATAGTTCATTAGTTAAGACAGTTATTCTTTGTTGGAGGTTCAAAAATCCCGTCCCAAATTTATTCGTGAAAAGCATATAATACATATATACATACGTATGCGCATTTGATCTAAGAGTAACGTAGCGTCTTGTTGCAAGGTTCATTTCGAGTAGTGGGTCATAGGGGGGTTTATCTAATCAAGGGTCGGAGCACAAGGGTCCTGGTACTATTCAGGTGTGAAGAATCACGGGGTGACTGTAATGAGTAGAAAACTCACTCACCGGCCTAAATGACAAGCAAACCCTCGAACATGAGAGCAAGGGATCACCCAAGGAATGGACGAGCTCTAAGGAGGGAGGCAAGAACCATGCTTTCAGAGACTTAACTCAATCCCCTGGTCTAAATCTTATTTGAATTGCGAGAATAACTGACCAAGTCATGCACATATATATATATATATACACACTCATTCTCCAAATGTTGCGGGGCAAAACCTTTAGGTTGTTTAAGTAGAATGGGTGACAAATCGGCCATAGTAGTACTGCAATATTATAAACTATAAACTAGGGCAACAAATTTCGAGCATACGATGATGCCGCCCGTTTTATTTTGTGGAAGTCTCCGCTAGAAGAAAGAAAGGATGGTAGGTGATGGCGCGTTCTACGAGTACAAAATTTTGATATAATTGTTGTGGGCCAATAATGAATAGGGTATGGTCACATGGGTATGGTGTAAATTGGCTATAATGTAAACTATAATACAACTGAAGTTAACTACAGTGTATGCAGAAAGAGGAGGATGAATGTCAGTGTGGTCCATTAATAACTAGACTTCGAGCTTAGGAGCCGTGCAAGATGAAAGCCTCATGCACGGTTTTGAATGAGAGAAAGACGTGGAGGATCCTCGTTTTTAGCTCTTAACTCTCCCGCTCCGGTCGTTGCTTTTGTAGAGTTGTTGGGTGAAAGGGTCCGGAAATTAAATGGTATGGTTGAGAAGAAAATAATGATAAAAATAAAATAAGAAAGAGGTAACATGTGAAGATCATAAATAGAGGTGGGTCATAAACTCCATGTAATGTTGGGATGCTAAGAAACAATGGCTCTTTCAGCCAGCCAGCATTTAACACACTCATGACTCAATAGTGACCCTAGAAACTAACACCTTGTGTATGAACAAATTGATTGCTCGAGGGCCGAAAAAAAATAATTAATTTATAAATTTAGACCGTGAACTTTTATATTTGTGACAAAGGAAAATAACATCGATATAAGAACCTAAATTAGTTCTAATTACTTTTGAAATGGTGCAAAAGATCGAAAAAACTGTGTTTAGCGCTTAAGACGCTAATGAGTTTAAGAGTCGGGATAGACATTGCAACGTTTGAATTTCCAATAAAATGGGAGTATATGATGAGGAAGGTCACCGAAAGGTTGCTAAAATAAGAAACGGTTACCCAATGTTTCTTGCCTCTGTAATTAGCTCGGGTAGTTGTTTCTAATGTTTCAGTCACCTTTCAATGGCTCCCTAAATTATGTGTGAGGAATTCCCCTCATCGGGTAATGGGAAGCGGACTAGTCCCTAAAAATGTCCATTCCTGTGTGGTTGGAGCTCAAAATCTTCCTTGTTGAGACTTGACTTGGTAGTCTTGCTATATACTACACGTCATGAGTGACAAATGAAGTTGAAGCAACACAGTCAGTAATAAATAATCTTTCTCGAGCTCAAGTATAGTCGACTCAGTCTCATGTGCTTGACTGAATATGCAGCCATGAAACTGCAAAATCTGAGACTCCAGTTCCGGTCATGTTAGCATAAATCACCCTTTGACAACCCGACAAAACAAATCACCCTTTGACAACTCGACTGAACAAATCCAGTGATACAACTTGTGTAGAAATGAGGTCGCTGTGAATAGGATAACCAAATTAGTTTATCGTAGATCAATGAATACAACTGCACGAATCTACGAACCCTAACAGAATTCATGGCATTTTGTGAACCAAACTTTTTCATCATTTCAAGTTTGACATCATCCCATCTGAAAATAACAGTTTCTTCTCCATTTTCCTACAACAAAACAATACAGAATTTTTTTTTTTTTTTTCTTTTTCTTTCTGCAGAAGACAAAATGCTTCATGTTCATGTTTTTTCTCTAGAGAACAGATTCAAAATTAATGATTGAGAGCAACAGAGGGATGAAAATCATGAAATGTTACCATGAACATCAAACTTCTTGTCCCCTCCATATTCATCATTTTAGGCATCCTCGAACAAGAATAGAGATCTGAAAAATATTATTGTTTGAAGTGGTTTTAAAAATACTAAAATCATTCCAAAATTGTTAGGACCAAGGATCGTATAACTTACACGCTCAATCTAAATGAAAAACGTGAAGAACAAAAGAGAGAATATGTAAAGAGAAATACCGACTAAAGATAAACCTAATAAAATACCGACTAAACCAATCACAAGAAGCTAGCAAACTTTTGAGGCTCGCCGTTAAGTCACCAAATCCTACCCATGTACCCATGAGACCTTAACTACCAACTGGTTACAATGATGAGGTAGTAAATAACACAATCTCTAAGCAATCCATATGGCAGCTTGCAGTCTACCTAGACAACCCGTAACATCGGGTGACCATAGGTGATGCGTGTACCACTTGAAACTATTGAACATTGGTAATAACTAGATAACAATTCAAACCATTACCCTCATGTGAAGCCTATTATTTGTCATGATGGCTCATATGAAAACCATCCGCAAAGCAAATAGAGAATTCAATGGCTAAAGAAAACATTTTCCTCCTATTAACCCATTGAGAAATATCCTAATGCCACAACCTTCAATGCTCCAATATCCGATTGTTGTAGCGAAAGCAGAAGCAAGATCGATCGCACTCACACACCTACAAACAGAAATTAAACAAAGGTACAAAGATTTACATGGTTCAGAGAGAAAATTCTCCTACATCCCTAAGTTAAGCCAGTCATTATAACAAAGTGTTTACAAGTGTATCTCTCACACGGAAAAGTCTCTCAACAAAGTTTCTCCCAATTATCTCTAAGCAAATACAAAATGGTAATGGGTCCATGTCTCAAAACAATGCTAGACAAACTTTTATATAGGCATACCAATATTAATGCACATACATGAATAAAAAAATATAAAATATGAACCAAAATGGTTATGAACTAAATAAGAGTTAATCACCAAAATAAATGAGAATATGGACTTACAACAAACCATCTCGCGTGGGGATATTAGGGAGAAATTTTCCAGGTTATTCCATGGGGAATATGAAGCAGCTCCCTGCCAAGGTTGTAGGATGATAGGCTCTCCTCAAACATTCTGGGGTTTGGCCACATGGAAAATGTAATATTTCGATGGAGAAATTCTGGCTTCAATTTATCGCTCTGAAGGAAAGAGGAAAATTGTGTAATCAATTCAAATATAATTACCGATGCTTCTCAAGGATAAAACAGTTTGCAGAGGTGGGATATAAAAACCACAACACAATTAAGGAAATCAAAGGGGCTGAACGCCGTGCCGTACAAGAGAAATAGACACACACAGATGCCAACAAAGAGGATGCAAGATTGTCATAAACGTACAGATAGCAAAAGCAAACATGCCGGCGTACATTATATGACACTGTGAACAAGCATGAGTTATTTACCATTTTGATGCTCTCACGGTGGCAGCAGAAATTATAACAATGCTAAACGCCTGTAGGAAGTTAAAAGGGATTCAAAACAAAAAATGAATAAATAAACTTTTATTATTTACTGAATTGTGCCAAATAAGAAATGGTCAATCTGTTCAATTATTGCTTTGTACAAATCACGAACACGTACAAAATATTGCAGCTACACATGTCTGCACATCACTTGAAGGGGACGGGAGACGGCGAAATGATGGAGGGAGGAAGCAGTTATTGAGGATCGTCGGGAGAGGGGTCCCACCTTGACTAATTAAAGGTTGATCATGGGTTTATAAGTAAGGAATACATCTCTATTGGTATGAAGCCTTTTAGAGAAACCAAAAGCACACGTCATGAGCTTAAGCTCAAAGTGGACAATATCATACCATTGTGAGATTCGTGATTCCTAATATGGTATCAGAGTCATGCCCTTAACTTAGTCATATCAATAGAATCCTCAAGTGTCGAACAAAGAAATTGTGAAACTCAAATGTGTAGTCAAAAGTGACTCAAGTGTCGAACAGAGAGTGTACTTTGTTAGAGGGCTCCAGAGAAGGAGTCGAACCTCGATTAAGGAGAGACTATTCGAGAGCTCCATACGCCTCAGGGAAGTCTCTATGTTGTATTTTGTTCGAGGGGAGAATTGTTGAGGATTGTTGGGAGGTTGATCACAAGTTTATAAGTAAGGAATACATCTCCATTAGTACGAGTCCTTTTGAGGAAACCAAAAACAAAGCCATAAGAGGTTATGCTCAACGTGGACAATATCATATCATTATGAAGGTTCATGATTCCTAACAGTAGACTAAAGAAGGATGATGCAAGCTAATACGATTATGTAACTTTAAATCATCCTAGTTGAACGTTAGAACCTAATAGTTACAGATGATTGCACCAAATCGAACCGAGGTCTTAAAGCCCGAAGGACTTGCTCAACACAGCAAAGAACGATCTTACATGAGCATTCCTAGTGATTTAGCCAAAAATAAAGCACATCTCTCAACCATGCTCTTCAAACAGCAGCAAATCCACCAATTCATAATATCCTCTTAAAAGAGTGACCATGATTTAACAAATTAATCTCATATATCACAACCTGATAGGAAATCTCCTAATCTTACAGGATGGCGCTGCTATATCCAGAAACATCGCCAAAAGTACGGTTCCAAAGAGCCATATCATAAACTTAATATGGAGCTTCCTCAGACTAAGGATATCAAAATGGCACCAAAACAAAATAAAACGATCTGAATCCTCGACATCTCTGCACACACAAATCCAACCCAGAGGGAGAAAGAGAGAGAGAAAGCAAGACGGATCTTCTTTTCAATTCAATCACATGTACTAAGGCCAATGAGAAAGTACAGAAGACTTAATTAATCTTCTTTGAGCCTTCAGAACAACTCAGGAGTAATAACATTGATAGCAGCTAAGTTATTGAATCCTAGTAATCCATAGATATCCTAGTAGGTGACCTGCATGAGTAGTTATAGAACGAATCGACCTTGCTAACCTACACCGAACATCCATTTGGAATAGATAACAGAAAAGATGGCAAAAGTTCTGGTTAATGGATTCTCCTCCTATATACCAAATTGGTTTTCATATAAAAATCTTTCTACCCAAATTTGTTCTCACACATGAATTGAAGAGATTCGAGGTAGAATGTACAGCAGAATTCTCCACCCATTAACAATGCCTTCTGATTCATTAGTACATTCGTTCTCCTAAATACCTTCCTTATACATGTAAGCCACTGACTCCCTAGAATTTCCCCCTTTACTGTATGCAGGAAATTCGTTACTAAATGATAAGTTCCCTCTCCTAATTTGTTACTACTCCGAGCAAAAAGACTACGATATGTAGTCAACTTGACCCGACAAATATCCTAACAGAAAGTCCTAGAGGAAAAAACACATATACTTGACAGATTATCCTGAAAATTCTAATAAATATGAAGTTTAGGAAGGAATGAATTCAAGCCATAGTGACATCTACCTATACAATCAAGCAAGCAGCAAGAGATGTTTGTCTATTGAGTTACATGAAAATTGGTCCATCCAAACAAAAATCAAGTGTAGAATTAGAAAACCACTCATGATCATTCCCTAAATTAGCTGGGATTCTCTTCCAACAATCCTCTCCTCGAACAAAGTACATTACAGAACCTTCCCTAAGACTATGGAGCCCTCGAACAACCTCCCCTTAATCGAGGCTCGACTCCTCTGGAGTCCTCGAACAAAGTACACCATTTGTTCAACACTTAAGTCACTTTTAACTATACTTTCGAGGCTCACAACTTCTTTGTTCGACATTTGAGGATTCTTTTGACATGGCTAAGTTAAGGGCATGACTCTATACCAGGTTAGAAATAACGACTCTCCACAATATAATATTGTCCACTCTGAGCATAAACTCTCGTGGGTGTTAGACTATGTTGAATAAGACCAAAATCGATACCATGTTAGGAATAACGATTTTCCACAATAGTATGATATTGTCCACTTTGAGCATAAACTCCCATGGCTTTGGCTTTGCTTTTGGTTTTCCCAAAAGACCTCAGACCAATAGAGACATTCCTTCCTTACTTCTAAACTCGTGTGACTCCCTCCCAACCATCCTCAACAAATACCCAAATCAAATACCCAAATAGATTTATTAAGCAGTCTTATAACCTTCATGATTTTATACGATAATGATAGCTTCTCACTCAGTGACCTATCCAAGCACGAAAAACCTAACAATCTGTAAGGGAGAAATAATGCAAACATCAGTAAGATTATACCAAACATAATGAGAAAGATGATAAATCATATCGCAAAAGGGATGAACGGGTATGATCAAACTCTATCAACCAATCAACCTATCTAAGCAATGACCAAATACAGCTAGCTAATGAATTAAATACGCTTTGAAATCATCGTAGACAGATATGAGGGCGAGAAGTACAAGAAAGATCGAGATTTACCAAGCTTAGCAACCAAGCTTCAAACTTCGATTAAGCAATCCATATCCATTTCTAGCGTAAGAGATACGGAACGTTTCCAGATAATTGATGCAGTCGGACTGGCCGTAGAAATCATGGGTTGAAAACTGAAATTGACGCTCCTAATTGATCACAGAATTTCCATTAAAAACTAAGCTGAGTGATACATCAACTTGGGAAAAAGGTCTACAAGTAAACAAGTAAAAGAAACTCGAAAAGTCTGAAGTAAACTCCTCTATAGCATGGGATGTAAGGCTCTGTACACCCACACAAGGATAACGGATTTACAGGACCGCCGCTAGTTTTCCTTCTATCTCATTTACTTCCTTCCTCTTCTTGCCGGAGCCTTTCTCGCCGGCGATTTCACTTTCTTAGACTTAACACTTTTCGCCGGAGCCTTCTTGGCCACCGGTGCTTTCTTCACCACCGGTTTGGGAACAGGTGCCTTATTCCCTGGTGAGGACCTCGTGGATGTCCTAGCAACCTTGGCGGGATTCTCCTTGGCTTTCGGCTTGGGAGCAGCTTTAGTCTTCGCTGCAGCTTTCGGCTTCGCAACCGCACTGCTCTTTGCCTTGGCGGGAGCAGGTTTAGGTTTAGGCTTAGGAGCAGCCTTGGGTTTAGCAGCCGTCTTGGGCTTCGGCTTCGCTGCCGGTTTCGGCTTTGCTGCCGGTTTAGCCACAGCCTTGGTCTTCACCGCCGCTTTAGGTTTCGGCTTGGCAGCAACAGGCTTCTTCTTCGCAGGAGAAGCAGGCTTCGAAGCTGCCAATTTCGCTGGGAGAAGCTTGAACGAGCTCTTAACCTTCACCAGCTTCCCGGAAGCAACAAGTTTCTTCAAATGGAATAACAAAAGCTTCTTAAAGTTCGGAGGAAGTTGCTTCTGCTTCTCCTCAATGAATTTCGTAATCGCATACTGACTCGAACCAGTCCTCTCCTTCAACGTGACAATCGCATCCTTAATCATCTGAAATCAAAACATCAAACCAAATCAACAAAACAGATCCATTACACCAAACATGAATCCGAAAGAAAATTATGTTTTAAACTCCAAACCCAATTCAGCAACACACCTCTTCATATGGAGGATGAGTTGGGGGATTTCTAGATCTTTTAGGCGCAGCAGGCTTCTTCTCTTTCGATTCTTTGGATTTCTTCGACTTCGCGGCCTTTTTCACAGGACTTTCTCCGGCTGGTTCGGCGTTGGCCGGCTCTGCCGCAGACTCCACCGCCAAAACTGGCTCCTCAGTAGCCATTGATGTAGAAACAAGATCAAATTCCACAAACCAGAAGTAGAATTCAGAAATGGAAAGATGATCGGAACAAAAATTGGGATCTAGAGAAACGAGAGAGCTATATGAAATGTTACTGGTAATTTCGTTGAGTGGGTTTGGCTAAAATGTTTAGGCTTAAATAGTCGGCTTGTCATGTTCATCGCAAGGAAGCTGAGATCTGATTGGCAAATACGCCTATCACGCGGATCGCTACCTTTTCCAAGTTTAAATTATGGTCGTTCGATCAAACGTCATCGACGGCTGATAGCGCCAGATTTGGGTGGCTTTGATGGAGGAGTTTGGATGGGGAGGTGTTTGAGATGAATTGAGTGTGCTTTTAAGCTTGATTAATATGAGCATAACTTAGGAAAAACTTAATAGATTTAAATGGGGTTTTTTTCATTTTGTAGCTTATTACATTAGCTTTCCAATGAATATTTATTCATGTCATTTGGTTAAGAAATTGAAGAGATATTTGATTTTGAATGTGGAATGGTCATGACTAGGGTTTATCATGATGCTATTGTGGTTTAGGGCAAATTTTAGGACAATGCTTCAAATAAAAACTTGAAATTTTCATTCCAACTAGTAGTATCTTAGTTAACGAGTCCAACAAAACAAAAATCGAAAAAAACCGATACCGTTTCGATGCAAAATTATTACTCGAAACATTACTGAAGTTAAACATGTATGATATGAGTATAAACCCTAAATTTGTAAAAAGATTCATTTTCACTCGATAAATCATATTTTCATTTATAATTACGAAAATATTGAACCAATTGAATAAATGACATGGGTTCGGTTTTGTTTTTCACAAAATCGATATGCCGGTCAAATTTTGCTAGTATCTCATTGGAACTTTTTACCATGGATAGGTAATTTTAACCTACTCTTTTAACAAGCATCATAATGAACTCATGTTGGGTCTAAATAACAAATACCAAACTCCATGTGCAATTGTGGTTTAGGTCTTAAGTTGGTCGAAAAAAGTCACGATGGGATGGGACGGATACATAGTTACACAACAATATATATTATGAAAGAAACTATTGTCTTTGAATCTGTAAATACGATATAATAAGATTGACTTTATGTG